TCTGGGTTCTCAGCTAGATGGGCTGTGAGAGAGGAAAGGACAGGGAGCCTGGAACTGGGAATGGGGGTAGAAAGGTGGTCACACTCTAGACAGGCTTCCACGTGGAGCCAGCAGGATCTGCAGAGCTGATGGCATTTGCAGAGGTGAGAGAAAGGTAGCAAGGAAGACCGATGCTGGGGCTTTGGGCCTGAGCAGCAAGCAGGGCTGGGAGAGACCTAATGGGGAGGAGGGGAAGCCAAGAGGGGGTCCCTGCAGCTCCTCCCCAGCTTGTTGGGGTAACTCAGAGAGGCCTGGAGCAGAACCCTGTGTCCCCCATGTGCCCTCCCAACCCTCTAGCACACGCCTTCCCTAGACACAACTTCCCTCTCACACATACACCTGCAAGTGCACATACTCACATGCACAAGCCCCTCATACACACATGCCCTCACTCACATACACTCATCTACCCTCAGTCACACAAAACCTCACACTCACATACACACACACTCTTATATGTAAATGTATACACACTCACTCATATACACACTCTCAAGCCCTCACACATACAGGAGGCTTCAAGGACCCCTCAAGTGGCTTCAAGACCTGTGGACCATTCAAGGTTGGCCCCCTGCTGGGACCATTGGCCCCAGGTGGCAAGGAGGCCCATTTCCCAGATGGCAGCTGTCAAAGCCCAGGTCTTGCCTCCCAAAGGAGTCCAGACAATACAAAGCTCTCTCTCTCCTTTATCCTGAAGACGTGTCAGTGAAGACAGCTCCTTCCACCATCCAGGTAGACAGTATTTTAAGTGATTCAACATTCACAAATCTGAATGGCCACATTCATGCCCCTCACTTCCTGTGAACTCCAAGGCTCCACCCCAGTAATCCATGTCCTTCTGAACTACATGGAGCCTTTTGGGAGCCTTGCCTGGTGAGGTGTTCTGTCCCCCATTCTGCAGCTGAAAGGCTGGCAACTTTGCCTGGAAGGGGAACAGAATCAGGGTGGGGGAGGAGGGGGGCAAAGCCCAGGCCCTGAGAAGGGAGGCCCAGCCTAACCCATAGGGAGACAGAGACCCCCAGGCAAATTCACACTCCAGCTGCTTGCTGGAGGACAAGGCTTCTCAGCTGCTGTCACGCAGACACACATATGTGTACACTCACGCTGACACGTGTGCACATGCCGCATATGCACACACAGCCCACACTCACCTTGACGCACAATCTCATCCTCACACTGGTACACACACCTGCACAAAGATACACATACCAACATTCTCATGATGACTCAACACACAAGCTCATGCTGACACAAAGTGCATACAGCACACACACAGATGTGTTAACTCTGGGTCCCCAGTCCCTCTGAGTCACGTGAGCAGGAACTGCCCCCTCTGGAGGCTGGAGCCTCCTCCGAAATGTTTCTGTCTCCTCAAGGTCCCCCCCACCCCCACCCCCCAGCCGCCATGTGGCCTAAAATCCTGAGAAATTAGGAAAGATTCCTTTAAAATTAACTCCTCAGATTTTAGGATTAAGCAATGTTTTGAAAATTTGGACCTCACTCCTTTGGCTCAGTCTGCTGTGGGCTTGTGTCACCTGGCAGGTGGGGCAGGCAGGATGTCGTGGGAGGAGGAGGAGGGTGGTTGTGAAGGGACAATCTGAGCACACACCCTCCCCATATCTGACAGCAAAGAGACACAAACAGCAGGGGGATATAGGGGTCTCAACTCCCACCTACTCACTCTGCAACTCTCCACCAAGGAATTTCTGTCCTGTGGGCCTCAGTTTCCCCATCTGCACAATGGGTGTGATCTCAGGGCCCTCCTCACAGGGCTAGGGTAAGATTTAAATGACCTTCTAAGTCCTGGAAGCCCAAGAAAAGAGAGGTCAGAGAGGGGAACTGCATTCTGCAGCTATTCTTGTGGCATTTTCCTGGTCTCCGCTGTTGAGGCGGGTGCTTCCCGGAGGACCCAGAAGCAATGCCTCCCGCTGGGCTCTCTCTGCCAGAAGGAGACCCTGAGGTCGCTGCGCCACGGCCACACGCCTCCTCCCCGACTCCCACCTGGTCAATCCCCCAACCCCGACTCTCTCCTGAGGTTCAGGTTGCGCCCCAGCCCCGCCTCACCAACAATTTTGCATGTATTTAAATTTTCTCTGTAGGCTCCCCCTCCCTCTGGAAAAAGGAGAAAGAAATTACAAAGCCCGTCATTTGTCTCCGTCCCCGCACCCCATCTATCAGGGCTGGGAGCCCGTCGCCTCGAATGAGGCGCGCGCCCGGGACGGCCGCTTTAATGGGGCGCCGCGTGTGACTGTGCAGCCGCGCGGCGGGCGCAGCCGGCCGGCATTTGCATACATATTAAACGGAGCAGTAAAAAAATGCAGACATGCAAACCATTTGGACGGGCTTCTCGGCTAGAGCCTGCCAGGAAATCAATCTTCTGGTTTCTTAAAGGAACCTGCTCGGGAGGAGGTGGTGATGCCACAGAGCCCACAGGCGCTAGGAGGGGGGCCACCTTTGGTCCACCTGCCCGTGAGGAGCCAACTGTGGGGATCCTTTTCGGCCGGGAGAAGCTATGGACAGGACAAGGAGGCAACGGGTAGACCCAGCAGCCCCGGAGTAAGAGTCTTCACCTCTCTCAGCCCTCCTCACCAGTGATACTCTTCCCCCTTGCAGCTCTGGCATTGAAGCGACTAAGCCAAGGTCACCCATGCCCTATGTGCAGAGCCTGAGTCTCAAGCCAGGTGCAGAGGAGGCTGGCCGAGAACACAGGCTCTGGAGGCAGGCTGCCTGAATTCAACGTTAAGCTCCACTGCTTATGAACTGTGTGACCCTGGGCAAGTACATCAGCCTCTCTGTTTCCTGAAAAAGAGGGCTGAATATACTCTCTCTTGAGTATGTTGTTGAATTAAAGTAGATCAGCCATCAAAGCACTCTGCTCATTGCTTGGCATGCAGTAAGCACTCAATAAATGGTGGCAAAACAGAGTGTAGGCAGGTCCTTGGTGCTACTAGTCTGATTTTCTGGGTTAAAATCCCTCTTTCTGTCTGCATGGTATGGCAGGCCAATCCCCCCACCCCCAGCCTCCTTACCTGTAAAATGTGTGTTTTGATTTTCATGGAGACGTCTAGCTCTCTTCTGGAAGATGCATGGATCACCTACCTAGCCCCCCACAATGTGAGCTCACTGCTGGTTCCAGCCAGATATGGTCAAGGTGGCACCTCTGAGGGCTGCCAACAGCCTGCCCTCCCCTGGCTGCTGAGACAAAGCCCTGTGGCAGGGATGGGGGGAGTCAACATCCACACATGCCCCCAAACTGACTATATTTCAGTAGGACCAGGAAAAAGCAAGTGGCAGAGTCCCCAGAGAGGCAGACTAGGGCTGAGCCCACTCCACTTGGCCTCTCTCTGAATTCCACTGTACAGATGAGGAAACTTAGGCATAGAGAGGTGCAAAGCCATGAAGCTAGATGGTGGTGCAGCTGGGATCTGACTGCAAAGCTGCCTCCCTAGGGATCATCCATGACTACCGTCCCCAGAGGGAAGAGCTCACCCAAGTGTACCTCCCTCCAAGGATATGTGTGCTTGTGGAGAAAGAAGGGGGTTTTGTCCCTGGGCCCAGCTGAATATTTAGTACACATGAAGGTCCTTCTTTGAAAGGAAGCAGAGGAAGGAAGGGAGGAGAAGGCCAGCTTAAGCTTGGCCTCCATCCATTGACTTCACTCCTGGACATGAGGAAGTAGGGTGACCAGGGTCTGAAGGATCAGACTGGACAGTGGGCAGTGCTGGGGAGACAATGGGAGTGCACCAGCTCAGGGGGGCCACCACCCTCTCTGAAATCCTGGGGTTTGGGTGAAAAGGCTCAACTAAGGCATGGGAGGGCATCTTTGCCTTCATTTAGCAGAGGGGTTCAGAACTTCCCAACTGAGTGGCAATGTGACCTCCAGGTTGTGTGTGAGTTACAACCTGGTACCATAGGAACAAAACAGGCCAAATCCAGAGCTGTGGCCCAATTCACTGGTGCCTTGCTTTGTGACCTTGGACAAAGCCCTACACTCTCTGGGCTAGGGTGGCTGAGCTCACCGCACCCATGCTCCAGAGCCCCTCTCTTTCACTCCTGACTTCTGAGATTTCTGGTCCTCTGTCCCTCCACCTCCCCCTGCAGCCCTAAGTGCAGGCCACTCCCACTGCTGGGCAGCCAGCCGGGTGGAGGACCGCAGGAAAAGGCAGGAGGGGTCGGAGTTACAGGAACCAGCAGGGTGATTGCTCAACTGGGGAGCCTGGCTGCTGGGCCTACACTGGCCCCCACCTCCACCCTCCGGTCCTCCCTCCCAGCTCTGCATTGCAAACATTCCTCGCCAACCTCGGGTTGCTGAAGCCCGGAAGGGGGAACTGTTGCAGACACAGCACGAGGCCGCCAGAAACTCTTAACCCCTTCACTCCTTCCAGGCACAGCCTTCAGGCAGAGGGAAGATGGAGCTGGGTGGCAGCTGTGGGGTCCTTCCCAGGCTGTGGGTTACACAGTCAAGTGACTTGCCGGCGAGGCCCAGCCCCAGGTTAACAACCTGGATCGACAGGTTGCTCATAGGGGTCAAGCAGTCTCCAGGCAGGATTCACTCAGCAGACATTTCCAGAGCTTCCTCTTGGTGCCAGGTATTACCTCTGGTACCAGGCATGAAAATCCAACAGGGTGGCCCTAGCACCGGGTGTGGGGTGGGATGCAGAGCCCATGAACAGGCATGTTTTAGATCATTACAGTGATGAGGCATGAATTAAAGCAGCTGAACTAGGCGGGGAGGGCTTCCTGGAGGAAGTGTAACTTAGGGAGCCCGTTAGAGGAGATATAAAGAGTCAGGCAGAAGAAGCAGCAAGTATGAGGCTCTAGAGAGAAGAGAGCTTGCCCCATGCCAGGCCTCAGTAGGCCCTGGCACCACTCCCTCCTTGGACTGTCATCTGAAGACCGTGAGGAGCCACAGAAAGGTTTGTGTGGAGAATGACATGGTCACATTTAGCTATAGACATGAAGAGAGCATGAGCAAAAAATAGAACTTTAATAGAAAACGGAGCTAGCATGTTTTCATGCTAAGATCAGAACACCTGAACCACGCCAAAGTGCCACCAACAGGACACGTTTCAAATGGCAGCTTGGGCCTGGCACTTGGCTCTCCTGCAGCCTGGCTGGCCACTCTGAGCCCTGCCATCCCGGGCCAGCTAGAAGCAGCAGGTTCAGATTGACTCTTCCTCCCAAGGTGGCATCAGCACCTCCCAGGGCCCAGACACCACTCCTTCATGCAGCTGGAGCTCAATAAATGCAATCATTAGTCAGAGTGTTGAAGTTGGGAGAGGCTGAAAGATCATCTAGGCCACAGTCTCCTCACTTCAGATGAGGAAACTGAGGCCCAGAGGCAGCCATGGCTGGCCCAGCTCACAGTATGGGGGCAGACGCGGCAGGGCCAGGCCGGCCACCATGACTGTACCCTGGGCATGTGGGGCCACAGAGTATGTAGCTGCGATGCCCACAGTACATGCCCTGAGAAGAAGCCAGCATACTCTGCCTGCCCATGACTTTGGTGCCAGAAGAGACCCCAGAATCTCTGAAGAGCTCCCCGCCAAAGCCCCCTTACTCTGTCTACCTCTCACAGGGCCTGAGAGTTACCTCTACGCCTGGTCTATTTGTTGGGACAGCAAATTTAGCCCGAGTTCGCCTAAGTCCTGCAGAGTATGTCGAGCCTTCCGAGAGAAAACATCCTCCAGGGTGCTGTCTCTGCTGAAAATCACACCTGGGAAGGACAGGAAGGGGCTGGGTGGGCTCCAGGCCCACACTTGCCCCAGTTGCAGGCGGGACTGAGTTCCATCCAGCCTCCTCGGAGGTCACCCCTACAGAAGCCCCAGACAATAGCCAAAGTCAGTTTCTGTTTAGGGCCCACTGTCACTGGATCCTTCTAACCAGTAGAGCTTCTGTAGGGGTTCCTCAAACCTGGGGTGCCATTGCCTTAGAGGTTTGCCATCAGCTTTGCCGCGGTTAAGCAGTCCAGAGCCTGTATGCCGGGCCAGGTATTATCTCCCTGAATCCTTGCCACAACTGTAGGAGTCTGCCATTATCACCCCTTTTTCCAGATGGGAAATTGAGGACTGTGAAGTCAATTGCCTGGGTCTCACAGCTAACAACCAGTGACAGTAGACATAAGACACCCGTGTTTTGAGTATCACCGCTAGGCTTCCCAGCCAGGAGGCCCTGTTCCTGCCTGGAGACATGACCACTTCTCACCTCTCTGAGTCTCCAGCGAAACCTAAAATTCCCCTGGCTCACCCTGACTCCTCATCTTGTTAATGTACTTAATCCTGAACATGAAATAAATATTTCATCTCATCTATTTATTATTTGTTTATCGTGGGCATTTATCCATCCTAAATTTACTCTCTGCTCAAATATCCTTCACATGAGCTCACCCAGATTACCAATCTCATCTCTGAACTTCCAAAGCTGCTTGTGTTGCTGCAGCTAACCATCACCACAAGAAGACCCCTCATTTCACCATTTCATAGAAGCTGGAAATATTAACAAAGCCTGCTGCCTGTGGGCACCGGTTGTACAGCGGTTTGATGCTGCAAGGATCCAGAAACAGAATGAACAGGATTACTATTACTGTTGTTGTTCACTGGAGTTTCATGTGGCTGATAAATTCCTGGTCTTTTCCTCCTCTCTTCACATCATAGGTTAACAATTACTCATGTCCACAAAATGATAACAAACCAACCGTGTGAAGGAGGCAAGTTATCTGTCCTTGCACTGAAGCAACACTTACTGTGGCTGTCAGCCTCCAAGATGATCTCCAAAGGACTTCCACCTTCTGTCATTCACACCCTGGGTAGTCCCCTCAGCCTGTGCAACCAAAAGGATACTGAGGAAATGACTGTGTGGGTTGTCCCAGCCTGGGTCACAAAAGGCTCTGCTGCTTCAGTCTTGTTCTCTTGCATCACTCGCTTTGGGGGAAGCCAGCTGCCATATTGTCAGGAAACTCAAGAAGCCCTATGGAGAAGTCCACGTGTCAGGAGCGGAAGCCTCCTTACCAACCCATGCAAGTGAGCCAATGAGGAAGCAGATCCTCTTGCCCTCATCAAGCCTTCAGATCATCAAGAAAGACCACAAGCTGGCACCAGCCAGCTAAGACCCACCTGAATTCCTGACCCGTGAAAACTGTAAGATACTAAATGCTTATTGTCTAAGCCGCTAAGTTGGAGGTAATTTGGTATGCAGCAGTAGGCAACCAATACAGAAACAGAAAGACCTTCTAGTTATGAAGTATTTGATGGGCTGTGTTCCCGAAGTATGTTCCTTAGAATACTGATCCCAGGCTGTGCTGGGCTGTCCCAGTTTAAGGTAGGCAGCCCTGGACTCTAGTCTTGTGCTTAAGATTCCCAGTGCTCACCCAGGCCTGGTGGCTCATGCTTGTAATCCTAGCAGTCTGGGAGGCTGAGGCAGGAGGATCGCTTGAGCTCAGAAGTTCAAGACCAGCTTGAACAAGAGCAAGACCCATCTCTACTAAAAATAGAAAAACTAGCCGTATGTTGTGCTGGGTACCTGTAGTCTCAGCTATTTGGGAGGCTGAGGCAGGAGGGTCACTTGAATCCCAGAGTTTGAGATTGCTGTGAGCTAGGCTAATGCCATGGCACACTAGCCTGAGGCAAAAGAGTAAGACTCTGTCTCAAAAAAAAAAAAAAAAAGATTCCTAGTGCTCATTGGCATATAAAGCAGACCTTGCTGGAAAAGGAAACTGTTCTCTTAACCCTGAGTTTCTTGGGAGCTTTTGACTATGGAATTCTGTTTCCTGAGCCTCAGAATATTCTTTGGGACACACAGACAAATTGTCATAGCAGCTGGGTCCTTGAGGACTTTAAATGGTTGTGTCCAACATCAAACCAAAAGTATTCCCAGCCTGATCTTCAGAATCTGACCTGTGGCCTTAGATAGCTGCTCTGCCCTGTCTCTGGGCTCCTCTTCCAGTTGAGGGGCTTGTTTGCCCAGAGCCACCTCTGGCCCTCCTGTCTTACAGTCAGTGGTATTGGATCCATGCCTGACCATGGACCTCAGCCCATGAGGAGCACTGGGGATTCAGGTTTTGAACCTCAAACTCTAGTGCCAGCCTCACAGCCTGCCACCGCGTAGGCCACACTGCATCCTTGAACTCTCCATGGCTGGTGTTTGCTGCATCCTGAACACCAACTCCTCAGAGTTGGGCATTTCTCAGTGGGAATGCAACTGTGGTCTTAAAACACGGGCCACTGGAAAATACCATTTGATGTAGAAAATTTCATTTTACAGGCAACTTTTTCAGAGTGAATCCACCCCCTTCAGCCAGGGAAGGTTGTGCTCAGAAAACCACATTCTTTCAGGTCCCTGGGGCTGCGTGGGGGCGGGAACAGAAATCTTTCCGCACTATAGAAGGCAGAGGTCTTTTCTTTTGTTTAAAACATAATTTTACCCGCATGTTGCTTTGTCTTTCCTGGCTTAGGCATTCTGGGGCTCTCAAGTCCTTCTGGAGCCTTCACTTCCAGACACCAAGTAGCCTGCCCCCTCCATCTGGCCAGAGGCTGAGGTGTGGGCGCCATGGGTGGAGGAGAATCCAGGACACCCTCACTGCTTAGGGTGTAGTCTCCCTGGGGAGCCCTGCCCAGACCAGCTGCATCACAACCGGCTTCTGAGCAAGGCCCCACAGAGACTAGGGGCACATTAAAATTGGGAAGTGCATGGTTGCACCCTGGCCTCAGGGTGTCCTCAGCCTGCGCACTCATGGGCAGCTGTGCCTGGCTTTCCCCACCGTCCTAGACCTCTGTCCATCACAAGTGGCTTCTCAGAGGGGCTTCCGGCTGAATTCTCAAGACAATGTCCATGCTTGTTCGGTGCCTTGTGTCCTCTCTCCACAGAAATACAGTGAGATGATCATGGCACAAGGCAGGAAGTTTGGAGACCTGAACAAGACATGGCCACAAGAGATACCCAGCCCTTACGGAGCACTCACAACCCAGGAGTGGAGCCAGTGGACTCAACTGATCAGAGAGAGGAAGCCATCTACCCAAGGTCACCCCATACATGGCAGAATGAGGATGGGATATCCCACAGCCACTAAGCTCCCCCTGGACACTTGCTGGATGAGGACTTCCTTGATGGGAGAAGTAGGAGTGACCATAGGGATTGTCACATTGCACCTTCCATCCAACTAGCTTAGCCCAGTGGTTCCCAATCTGCGGTTCCAAGGGGCTCCCAAAGGCTCCCTGGGGAGGGCATGGCATTTAGAGGCTCTCAAAGTCTCCAGCTGTCCCTGCACCTTTCCTGAGGGCCAGACTACCCCCAGGCTCCCCACATGCTGTTTCTTTGCTTTGGATGAGATTATATCAACCCACTGTGCCTGTTCAGACTCTTCAGAACTGGTGGCAATTGAGCAGCCATTGCCATTGCCCTTGTAACCCCAAATGAGAATGCTTATATCACTCAACACACACAGTTTGCTTGTTGGGCAAACATGGGCCTGGGGGCACATAACAGGAGGAGGGTCTTTGCCATTGGGAATGTAGAGAAGAATTAGTTTTGGAAATTTGAGTTGCAGAAGGTGGGTATTTGTCTCAACTATTTTTCTGTGGTGGCACCTGCTTTCTTATCTTTTCTTTAAAATGAAGGCAGTGTTTCACCAACCCTACCCAGCCCTACTGCTGATGCAGGTGGCTAGTGGCTGGACCAGGCAGTCACAGGCTGCCCTGGGAGGCCAAGGACAGGAAGGGCCCACCTGCTCACACCCAGCTCTTTACAAGATGCTCCTTGTCCCATGTGCTCTGCACAAACTGTCCTTGAAGACAACATGTGGGCTCTTGTTTGCAGGTTTTCAGGGAAGTCTGGCAGAAAGTGGCCACAGACACACTGCAATTTCTTGTAGAAACCTGCAGCAAGATGGGAAGCGGCTAGCCCAGCAGGGCTCTGGGGAGCAGGGTCGGGGGATCTCACCCATCCGCTTCTCTGGCAGACCCCTCCCCTCCCCCATCCCTCTGGCCTCCACCCTAAGACCGCAGGAGATGTGAGGCCTTGTAGATACTGGCAGGAGAGTTCAAAGGTTAAAGGTGAGAGTTCAGAAGTTCACACAGCAGGGCTACAATCAACCAGTCCTCAACTCATATCCTCAACAGGCTACCCTCCCTCCATCTGCTGACATCCTGGAACCCATGAAGACTGGAATATGTCTTCTCCATTCCAGATGGGAAGTCACCTTTGAGCATAGGATTGGGAGGAGGAACACAGTGGCTTCCTCTTCTTCTTTTTTTAGGGGCAGTCTCTCTCTCTCTCTGTGTCACCCAGGCTGGAATACAGTGATGTGGTCATATAGCTCATTGCAGCCTCAAACTCTTGAATTCAAGCAATCCTCCTGATTCAGCCTCCCAAAGTGCTCTGCCCAGGGCACTATTTTTAAAGCAAGATCTATGGGAGTTTTTAGGTGACAGCCTGTTACATACATATCTTCACTGTTCTGTTGATGTGCCCCTTTCCTACATATCTTCACTGTTCTGTTGATGTGTCCCTTTCCTAGGAGACCTGAGCAACCCTAGGACGAGGATTACATCTGTCTGTGTACACCAAGTGTGTCCACTGCCCAGCAACCAGAACTCAAAGTCTGTCTGGGGGTGGGGTGATTCCCCACTACTCCCGTCAGGCTGAGCCCTGTGGGGTTCAGGACAGGACACCACCTATTCACCAGAAGCCCTAGGGCAGAGACCCACAGCTAGCTCCTGCAGTCCCTTACTGGGGGACCCCCTGCAAGGCCACTCCAGCCCTCCATGCCTCCTCCTCCTCATCTGAGAAATGGCAGCCTTGCCAGTCACACATCAGGGAGCTGTAATGGGGATGACCTGGGCACCTCGCAGAGCACAGACCTGTCCACAATGGCCTCACTGTCTGGCATTCCAAGGGCCAAATGCAAGGCTGGGCAGGTGGCAGGCACTCATTTTCTGGTGGGTTGTTTTCAAAGCAATATTTAAAGCATAGAGATAATGATTGTGTGTTATTGGTGGAAAATGTGATTTTTTTTTTAAAGAGAAAGCTTGACTTCTTTCTCCCCCCAACACTGGCCAAGCTCCTGACAATGGCACAAATATTGTATTGGGCCTGATATAAAGGGACAGGAATTGAGGAAATTTGGAAACCAACTTCCAAAGGACAGAGGCTAAAGAGGGTAGATGACCTCCTAGGACCCTGTACTCCCATCTGAGCTGAGAATCCCGGAAGCCAGACCCACTATGAAGACATGCTCATGCCAGCCCCCGCCCCCCCACACACACACAGGGCGGTCCCTGAACCCAGATGGGCTCATGGTCTTTTGAGAAGAGAGATTGTGTTAGGAGCTTTGAATGTACAGAAGTCATCAGCCCATACATGGTCTGACATTCACTTAGGGCAAACAAAACCTTGTAAACTCTAAAATACACACTCAGGACATCCCTGGCAGCTAAGGCAATGGTTGTGCTGGTCTATGGCCAGGCATTCGTCAGGATACTTTCCATGCCTGAATTCAGCTGAACTCATGGCAACCTGTCCCCACTTCACAAATGAGGAAGCCAAGGCCCAGAGAGGTCAAATGAGGCTCCCAAGGTCACTTGCTGGTATAGCCAAACTCTTAACCATTAGAGTCTGATTTATAACCTCTGGCCTCACTGAGATGCTGGCTTAACCCCCACCCCCTGAGCCAGGGGCCCCATCACAGCGATAAGCAACTGGGATCAACTGCAAATATGAATTACCCAGGCTAATAACCACATTGTAAGGTCCTACCCACTGCAAAACGTTCACTGTTTTTCTTACTTTTACCAAAGTAACAATGATGGAAAATTTGAATCCGGTTGTGCAAAAAACCCAAAACTAGAGCCTTTAGAAGTATGCAACTTCCCTAAGACTAAGCTTGCTCTGGCCAACTTTTGTCTAATTCCCAAATAAGTAAGGAAAAGGTGGCAGGCAGATTCAGGTTAGATGCCTCATTGGTTTCAGCACAAGGCCTGAGAAGCAGGAGTGGAGAGTGAGGGCGATGTCCAAGGCTCAGGCTCTGAGGCTCCCTTAAAGGTGGTCTCTCGGCTCGGCGCCTGTGGCTCAAGCGGCTAAGGCGCCAGCCACATACACCTAAGGTGGCGGGTTCGAGTCCAGCCTGGGCCTACCAAACAACAATGATGGCTGCAACCAAAGAATGGCCGGGCGTTATGGCGGGCGCCTGTGGTCCCAGCTACTTGGGAGGCTGAGGCAGGAGACTCGCTTGAGCCCAGGAGTTGGAGGTTGCTGTGAGCTGTAAGGCCACGGCACTCTACCCAGGGGGACAGCTTGAGGCTCTGTCTCAAAAAAAAAAAAAAAATGTGGTCTCTCAAATGGCTGTGGTGGGGCGGTAGTCAAAATTTGGGCTCTGGAGTCAGACAAATCTTTGACAAACCATGCAATCTCTCTGACCCTCAGTCTCTTCATCTGAAATGTGTCCAGCAAAGCTTTATTGACCATAGACTCCATGCAGGGCTGGTGTTGGATGCTGGGGAGTCAGCAATGAATGGGAAAGACAAGGCTAAGGCCTCACCAAGTTCACTGCCTGATGCAGGGAGACAGTGAATTCAGAGACAAACAGATTCAGACATGAGGCTGTAAAGAAATAACAGAGGGATGAGAAAGCAGTTTAAAATCTTCCTGAAATCTTTCAAAGACACACCAAAGGGGAATTCCTTTGCACACCATACACAAAAATGTTGCCCAGAAGGTCTTATGGTAGTTGCTTCAGAAATATCTCCTTTCCCTCTCTCCCCTCTATCCTTATCAGAGAGGCGGAGCTGCTGGGCCTGTCCTCAGGAGACAGAGGGCTGGGCTGGATCCAGCCTCTGTCCTTCCTAGCCATGGGGCTCTGGGCACATTGCTTGACTACTCTGTGCCTCAGTTTCCTCATTTGCAAATCACCGATAACAACTGTACCACCTTCAAGGAGCTGTTGTGGGGATTCCAGGAAATAATCCCTGTAAAGCATATGAGACAGGCAGACATGGCGCTAGGCTACTGCAGTGTCAGCCATTATCATTTCCTTTGCCTCTTTACCCCTGCCCTTTGCATCCCACCCCAACAAGGGAAAGGGCCAGGGCTGAGCAGGTAAACCAGAGAACTTCCTTTTTTTTGAGACAGAGTCTTATTATGTTGCCCTCAGTAGAGTGCGGTGGCATCACAGCTCACAGCAACCTCGAACTCTTGGGTTCAAGTGATCCTCTTGCCCATACCCAAGTAGCTGGGACTACAGGCTCCTGCCAGAAGGCCTGGCTGTTCTTTTCTTGTTGCAGTTGTCATTGTTGTTTTAGCTGGCCCCGGCCAGGTTCGAACCTGCCAGCCTTGGTGTATGTGCCTGGTGCCCTACCCACTGAGCTATGGGCACCACCCCAGAGAACTTTCCTAGGAGGAGGTAACAAGGCCTGAACCATGCTTACTCCTGCCCCACAGGAGGCACACACAAGAGGCAGCTTCCCCTGGGTATTAGGGCTCAGAAGACAGAGCCCAGAGTTCTGTAGCACCAGGGGCAAGCTTGGCTCCTCACTGATGTACTGGGGAAAGATGGTTCCCCCAAAACCGAGGCTGCCCCAGGCCTGGGTTGTGTGGCCAAGGTGGCTTCTACATCTGTGTGGCCCCCTCCGAGGGGTGTCTCACTTCCTGAGCTGGTCTGGGTCAGACCCTTGCCCAGCAATCAACTGAGTGCTTCCTGCCCTCATGGGGTTCACAGCTTTGTGTGCAAAACAGATGGTCAGGGTCTGCTGCAGTGAGGTGAGAAACGCAGACAACAGAAGAGGACCTGCTGGGGCATCAAGGAGGGCTTCCTGGAGGAAGAGGCACTGAGGGAAGGGCTAGACTAGAAAGGAAAGGAGTTCCAGGCAGAGGTCACAGTCTGGGCAAGGCCTGGAAAAAAGTGGTAGTCTCAGGAGCTGTAAAGGTTCCTTCCTACCTCCCCAAGCAGGTGCCATCTCAGTTCCCCAAGGCCACCAAGGGAGGTCAGAGGGCAGGCACTTCTCTCAATTCATACATGGGGAGACCAGAACTCAGAGAGAAAGCGAGAATTCCAACTGGACAACCTGGATCTCCTGACTCCTGGCCCAGGTGACAGAATCAAGATGCAAGACTGGGCCTAAATCACCCATGGCATCTGCCCAGTGGCCAGGTGGGCCCTACTATCATCACCCCCATTTGATAGATTAAACAGGATTAGTGAGCACACAGCATTCCTTCACTCCTGCACTTTTTGTCCAAGTCCAAGGATCTCAGACAAGCCCCAGGTGCCCTTCGTAGGTAGGGCAGGAAATAGAGCCCCAGGGAACAGGGGTGAGGGAACAGGGGTGACTCGGGTGAAGGAAGGAGGGGAGCGGAGATGGGTTGCAGAAATCAACATCAGGCAGGAAAGGCAGAGGAATGTGGGTGGGGATGGGGTGCGCCAGTCGGGGAGGGGCCCAGGGCTCCAGGCAGCCCTCCCTCCCTGCCTCCCAGGTGAGACCCTAACTTCCCTAAGACAACACCCCCAGCTGGGCGGGGAGAAGCACCACCGCCCCCTGGCCGCCCAATCAGGACGCTTCCAATCTGAGGGTGGAGGCAGCCTGGGGCGGAGGGCTCCCAGGGCCTTCCCAGGGGAGCCCCCGGGGCCTACCAAGCCTAAGCGACCCCCCCCACCCCCGCCCACCCCAGCCTCATTAGCACCAACGCCCCGTCGTCCTCCCCTCGGTTTCCGGTGGCTCCAGAATTTAAAGGTTAAATCCTAACCTCGTCTCAGCAGTTTCTCCCGGCTTTGCCTACCCAGCGCCAGTTGCTGGTAATTATATGCATCTCCGAGCAGCCAATCAGCTGTCAGACTGACAGATACTGATCTTTTCGTTTTATTTTTAGCTCTGTGCTTCCCCCTCTAGTTGCAAAAAAAAAATTCTGTTTGTTCTGTGTGCTGCCGC